CCGGAGCCGGGCGGTCCCGCTCGCCCGGCGCGCACCGCCCGCGGGCTTCTGAGGGCCCTTTGGGGTGCACCCCGCGCAGATGACTTTTAGGAGGGGTGGCCTCTTCACCTCCCGGGAGCCCTGAGATGAGACTTTGATACGGACGCGGGCAGATGGGGCTTTGCTGCGCCCCAGCCCGGGCTTTGCTGCGCCCCAGCCCGGATCTCTGAGACACAGCCCGGCGGGCAGCTGGGCAGAGGATCGCCGCCGGCCGGGGCACGGATCCCGGGGCGGGGCGGAGGGGGTGAAGAGGGCCTAGCGCCGCTGCCAACACCCCTCCTCCTGCATCGCTTCAGAAGCACTTCCTGCTCATACCCGCAACTCTGCTTCTGAAATTTTACACCGGGCGCTATCGGGGGGCACTGTACCCTAAACGCTGCCGCCTGGATCCAGAAGGTCAGGCGGATTGGGGGCACTCCCACCCCTGGTAGACCCCAGCCACTCAGAGGATCTTTTTCTCTTTGCCAGGGAGTAGGCGACTGTTTCATTTTCATTTTTTTAAGGGGGCAGCGAGATGAAACGAAAATGGCTTGGTTTTCCCCTAAACCTCTCACAGCTGCGGTGAGAAAGGGCAGGGCAGGAAGGGCCAGCGGCTGGGGTGGCTATCCCGAGGTGGCTGGAAAGAGCAGCTTCTAGCAGCTGAGACCCTCCTTGCTCCCATTAGGACGACTCCAAACTGGAGGGGGAAAAAAAAAGGATGAGTGGCTCTTTGAGGTCTCCCGGGTGACATCTTAAAATACCAGTGGGGAAAATCTCCCGGGGAGGAGGGGGAGGGAGAGGCCCGTGTGACTTTAATCCTGAGATCGGAGGTTTTACTGTCACTTGGAGCTTAAAAGGAATCTTTGAAATTAAAAGAAGACAGGATGTTGACAGGAAATCTGGCCTTTTTAATCAGACCCCAAACATTTTCTCCTTGAAATTTTTACCATCTGGATCCCCTGTCCCTGCACGCGGTGGCCACGTTTAAATGGCTGTGACTGCGTTTGCAGCCTGATTCCTTTTCAAATGGCATCTGCCTCTCCAAGCTCCTTGGAGTGGGGGTGGGGTAGGCGGGGTGGGGGGCCCAGCCCATCCTGCAATCCCCAGCAGGTGCATCCTCCTCTCACAAACCCCCCTTCGCTTTTCAAGGGGCTTTCTGTGCGACCCTTCTTAAAACACCAGTTTGTTTCGCATTTTGCGTTATAGCTGCATAACGAATTCAAACTCTGCCGAGGGGGACAGACTGAGTCTGGGCTACATTTCAGGGCCAAATTTCATACCCTGCCCGGCTTTGGAGTTAATTGTGTGTGAATCAGCCCCGTTATTATTACTTGTGTTCTTTTCATTTAGCCTCTTGGCTGCTGAGAGCATGTTGATTCCTCTTTTAAGCAAACGGAAAGGGACAGGGGAATTGCAGCCGCATCTCGGGCTGAACTGAGTCACGGCGCTTACCTAGATTTAATTCAACCGAAGGGTAATTTCTCTGGGTCTAGCCCAGACAGTTGATCTAGGATCTTGGTGTGGAACGTAGAGATTTCTCTTATTTTTGTTACATTTGGAGAAGGTCTTAGAGATGCTTCTGAGAAATCCGCAGTGCGCCTGGGACCTAGGGGAGCTGCCTGGCTCTGCTCCTCCCCTCCTTCCCTTAGCACCCCCCTACCTTTCTCAGCTGTCTGCCTGCCTGTGCCCTCAGGTGGTGGCGCTGGGGGACGTGCCGGATGGAACGGTGGTGACGGTGATGGCCGGCAACGACGAGAACTACTCTGCTGAGCTTCGCAATGCCTCGGCTGTCATGAAGAACCAGGTGGCGAGGTTCAACGACCTTCGCTTCGTGGGCCGCAGTGGGCGAGGTGAGTGGCAGAGGGACTGCGCCAGCCAGGCACTGGCAGTGCCAAGGGGGTGGGGGCGCGGGGAAGCAAGCTGGGGAGAGCTGCCCTGGGGTCCAGAAACCCAGCCCGGGCCCAGCTCAGTGGCAAACGGCGGTTTGTAACCCCTTACGGTTTCACAGACCCCTTTTAAGATGTGGGGAAGGGAGTGTCTCTTGCCAGTGAAGGACAATGTTCTCCCAGTTTCTGAGGCTTACTCACTCCTGGAGTCTTCCATGTATCCCTCTTTCTCAAGTGAGCAAGCGCCTGGTCTTACCAAAGATACCCGGAGGAGATCGTGTAGAGACAGACCCAAAAAGGGCCTTGTGGATCTTTGGGCCCGATCTTTGGGCAGTGAGATTGGAGGACAGATCCTGCCTGCGGGGTCCCAGCCACTCACCCAACTGGGGCAGAAGCTTCCCTCCCCTCCCCCCACCCCACACTTTGAGGCTCCCTCTCCCCAGCTGTGGTCTCCCAAAGCCACAGTTTCCCCAGCCCTTTGAGCCTCAAGGTGGTTTAGAAGAGAAACGGGGGCCATACAGGACTGGACTGCTGGAAGTAGCCGAGGCCGCTGTCTTCCACCCAGAACCAGGGCAGGTGCCCCCTGGGCTGCGTGAAGGGAAGGAGGGCAGACTCCTGTGGCGCTGAGAGGGAGGCTGCCTGGCCTGACACCCTCATCACTACTGGGTAGAGAAGCCCTAGAAACCCTCCCTCTGCGAAATGGAGCCTGGAGCGCTCTGGCCCTTTAAGAACAGCCTTCTGAAAAGTGGGGAGTGCCCTTCCAGGCATCCAGCTCGCCCCAGAGCTTGGTGCAGCCAGTCAGTGAGGTTCCCTCTGCCCCCTCTCCACAGAGGCTGAGGCAGAATTGCACTTTTCATCACCAATAAACAAGACCTTCTCAAGGTTTTAGTTCCCTCTAAGCCGCCAGCCCAGCTCAGAAACGGGCATCTGGGCACCATTTTTTTTCCTTTCTAACCATTCAATGTATACATACAAATGTCAAACATATTTTGACTTTTCAGCATTAATTAAAACCAGGGCATTATTTGCATGTAATAACTGTTTACTTGTTACTTTTTATGAAACCGAAATAGTTTACATTCTTTCAAACATTTCCTGTTCCTGTTGGCTCCCTTCCCCACGCACAGATTTCTTTCAAACGTTGCCCTTAACTGGTTGCAGGTTGATGGATGGAAAATGTTTGCTTTTATGAATTAAGCTTTCATTGCTGCTCCTAATTAGTCTGCAAGCCCCTTTGTCATCCCCAATCTCCCAAGCCTTTTGCAACTTAATCCCAGCCCCAACCCAAAAGGTGGGTCACTGGCCACTCCGCAGCCCCTGAGATGGGGTGGTGCCAGGAAAGCCTGCCTCCCCAGGTGGAACTGGGGACCCGGAAGGCTCCCTCGTGATGCAGGCGATGGGGGTCAGTCCAGAAAGCCCATCAGCATCAGGACTGAGCTCTTGTCATTCTGCTCCTGAAACTGATGTCTTTGTGCCCATCCCTTCCACACACACCCCCCCCGTGGGTTCACAGGGTCACCCAGCACCCCTCCACACACCCCCCCTATAAGGAGAGGGTTCACAGGGTCACCCAGCAGCTTGCTGGAGAGAGGGCACCCCTGAGGCTGGATCTGTGGCTCTGAGAGATGCAGGAGGCTGAGGGTGCTGGAGCTGAACAGAACAGCCATTCTTACCCCATTCCTCTACCAGTCTCAGCGGTCCTGGGAGGCAGGAGGAGGCCCGAGTGTGAGCTGTGCCAAGCTGTGTCCCCCTGAAACGTGACAGGTTGTTGAGATCTAAGGGTTCATGGTCGTAAGCAGCCTGTGTTCTGCTACCAGCCCCCCTGGTTTCAGTCCCGGCTGTGCGGGGGACACGGCACAGGGCTTAGCCTCACTGCGCCTCCACTCCCTCGTCTGCAAAGCGGGGAGAGTAATGGTACCCCCTTCCTGGGGTTTTGTGAAGATGAAGGAAATTAATACAAGTGTACCCTCTTGAGAGCTGGATTCTTACTAGAGATTTTGTTACTTCAAATGCCTGGGACTGGAGGAGGTCTCTGAAGTCCCTTTGAGTGGTGACAGTCACTGATTCTCTGATTATGGTGTGGTTTGGGCGGGGGTGGGGGAAACCCAGGAGGTTTGAATTGTTGAGTGGGAGAAGTGGAGGCGGCCACAGCAGTGAGCTAGGAGGGCCCAGCCGGCGCGGCCTGGCCGGCGCGGCCCGGGCAGCGGCACTGTGTCCTGTGCCCACCCCGTGAGTGGGAAATTCCCGTCACAGAGAACAAATCTGTGCAGTTTGCGCCACTTTAGGAATCGGGACAGGTGGGGGTTTGGGACGTAGAGCCTCTTCCTGGCTCTCTGACTGCTGCCAGGACTAAGTCAGATGGAAACTTCTGCTTCTTTCCTTGCTATTTATTCCTTGATTCTGTCTTAATTTGGAGCAGTAAGTTTTTGGAGAAAGACACGAGGCATCACTGCCATAAAGTTCTGGTAAGTCAGGAGATGTGAACCAAGGAAAGGAAGGAAAGGAAAGCAGATCTTGGTGTGTCTCCCGCATGCTCAGGGTACCCCCTCCCCCCCGCCAGACACAGCACCCCCTTCCAATGACAGAAATCTTGTAACGTGCCATTTTCCATCCTCTGGTTTCATACAGTTTCAAACTTGATATGATTCCAGAGCTGACATGGCGTGGGGGCAAGGAGAGCAGTGCAGAGTAAAGCACCTGCCTGAACTGGGGGCACCGGGGGAGGCGGCCCTCGGGGGGTGCGCACCTGTCTGCGGGAGCCCCACAGTGGGCAAGGCAGCTGGATGGAGAGGGGATTGTGCCTCAGCTTTGCTGTGAACAATGTGATTTTCTGAAGTCTGAACAGTTAGTGGCAAAGTTCTGAACACATTTAAAAAAAAACTGTCTCCCCTCCTAGAAAATGCAATACTATCAAATGTTCCTTATTTTCTGTAAAACTGAGTTTGGCCCAGAGGTTTTACTATCTTGTCCACAGCTGGAATGTGCATCATCCCCCTCCCTCCCCCACCAGGAGGACCACAAATCTCCCAGTTGCCCTCAAGGGCCTCTCACCTAGGTGAAGAGGAAAAAAGCCTGGGTTCTAGAGGGCCATGTTCTGGCAGCAAAGAAACCTCATATGGCGGGGTTTGGGGTGAGGGAGAGGTGTGCATGCAGGTGGGGGGGGGTGCCTGATAGACAGGAGATAGATATGGCTTCTTGCCTAGTATTAAAAAACCAGAGGCCTCCTCGGCCTGCAGCCTGCTAGTGCCCAGGGGTGGGGCTTAGCCTCAGGAACCGGCCAAGAGGGGCAGGGCTGGGCTGTGAGTGTGTGGGGCCAGGGCTGTGGGTCCTGTGGGATGTGTGGGGCCACTGAGTGCCCCAAGGGCACCTCATTTCTCAGATTAGGATTCTCCTCCAACCAGAGCCAGCCCTGAGTGCCTTGGTTTGCCACTCCCGACTCCTGGCCCACAGCAGGCCGGCCCAGCTCCCTGCACTGTGCCTGAGCCTCTTTCTCTAAGGAGGGAGAGAGGGCATAGGTGGGTTTGCACCCCCGGAGACAGCTTTTTCCCACCCCTGGGTCCCTGCCTCCTGTGGTACTGACACCCGCTCCTCCCCTTCACTCCTACCCCCAAGTCCCAGCCCCTCCCTTCCCCCCCCACCTCTGTGGGTACCTGGGAGGGGTGGCCTACCAGAATGAAAACCTTTGAGGAGGGTTGGTGACTTCAGGGGTGGCCTGTGGCTGCTGCACAGTTGCGGGGTGTTGGGGGGGTGCTTCTTGCTCCCCAGGAGCAGGGACTCAGTCCCACATTCTAACCTTTCTGGGCCCTGCCTGGGCAATGCACTACCCCCACTCACCCGCATCCTGGGAGCAGTAATCTCTGCCCTTAACTCATTTACCACCAACTATGAGCACCTAGTATGTGCCAGATGCTGCCCCCGGGACTGGGAGAGCAGCAGTGAACAAGACAGAAAAAAAAAAAAAAAGGCCCCAAAGAGTTTATCATCTAGTAGAAGGAGACAAAATAAATAAGTACGTAGGTTACTAGGCGTTATTAAGGCTCGAACAGACAGAGTAGGAATGAGGTGCAGAAGTCTGATGCTTCTGACTAAGCTTCTTAACCTTTTTTCACCAATGGACACCTCTGACAGTCGGGAAAAGTGCCTATGCTTTTCTCAAGCGGATGTTTGTAAAAACCAAAAAAACCAAAGACTGCAATGAAATTAATGAGCTTAAAACATAGCAGAACATTTTATTTTAACCGTGGTGTCTGTTAAAGTGTTCAGTAACAAGATCGAGTAATGGGTCTGATGACGACCGTGATTTTGAAGTTGTGACGAGCATAAAGGATATTTAGAGAAATCTGCAAGGCCTGTAACGTGATATGTAAATGCCTGTGACGTCTGTTGGTGACAAGGTCACAGGGACTGCTGAAATGCCTCTGTGGTTTCTTGCCCACTTCACACTTGAAAGAGATGCTAAATTTCATCTAGAGGTTAGGGACAATGCATGTGCCACTTTTTTTTTCCTATCCCAGTTCACGGGCTGCTCAACTTGAAGGGGGACCCAGAGTGCCACATTAAAAACACTTTAAGCCCTCCCTGGTGGCGCAGCAGGTTAAAGCGCAGCACTGCAAGCCAGATGCAGGCACTTCTGTGCGAGTTCGATCCCCCGCCCTGGAGCTGACCCACAGGGCTAAGCAGACCCCTCCCGACCCGCCCGCTGCTCCCCTCAGCAGTGTACTTCGTCTGTCTGCCTGTTCTGCTCTCCACTGTCTCTGGTGAATCCTCTCACCCCACCTCACCCCCGCACCTCTGGCCTGTACCCCAGCTCTGTATGCATAAGTAAATAAACCTTAAAAAAAAAAAAAGAACTATTTTAGATAAGTAGCCAGGTGAGAATATGGCTTTTCAGCAGATTCCTGAAGGAAGTGACCTGAGAAACAGGAGGGCTAGGCAGGGGATGTGTCCCACTCTCAGGAGGGCTTGGGAGGGGACGCGCCCCATGGGCATGCAGCACATCTGCTGTGCCCACCTTGCTGCTGCCTGGCCCCCCAACTCTGGGATCCCTGTCCCCTGGTGGCAGCAGCACCAGGGGATGATGGGAGGGCCAAGATCCAGGCCCCCCAGGCCCCTGGCTGGTTGGAGGGAGCCATCCAGGAGAGGAATGGCGTCAGGGCCGGGAAAGGGAGCAGGCCCTGACCACTGCCTGCCACTTCCCTGGATTTCCTGCACTTTCTGTTTCCAGAAATCAAGGCGCGTGCCCCTGGTCTGAAAGTGAAGGGCCAGAGTGGCCATGACCCAGGACTCCAGGGGCAAGTGTGGGCTGTGTCTCCCTCCCTGGCACGAGGGCTGGCTCAGGAAGAATTGCCCCCTTCTGCCAGTTTGAGTTGACACCGCAGCTGCCTCACCGTCCCACCTCTCCCCTCCATCTCTCCCCCAGAAGTCCTGGGGTTCTTGGTGTGACTCTGGCAGCCTTTGTGCTGGATGCTTCTGTTTTGGGTGTTGGAGTTTCCACTCATCTCTGGATCAACAAGTAGGCACCATGCAGAGAGCATATGAGCTATCAGTGTCCAGAGTTCATCCCCCCACCTGTGAAGCGGGGTGTCAAAACCGCCCGCCTGCTGCAGGTTGTTGGGAGGTCACGGGCAGCCTCCCTCCGTGTCCGGCCTCGCAGCCTTTGGGGACACAGGTGCTGTGGAGCACTCCTGCCCTCAGTGAGTTCAGGCCTCCAACTGGGGGCACAGAGGCTGAGGATGAAGAGGTAAAGCTTGACTTAGGGGGGGATCAGCGAAGTTCCCACTCCCACCCCCAAACCCACACAGCATGAAGGCTTTGGGTTGTCATGGAGGGCAAGCAGCTTTCACTTCAGGGAAGGCGCTGTGAAAATTGGGGTGCCCTTTGAGGAAACTGATTACCTCCCAGCGTACCAAGTCAACCCCCAGGAAGATCCCAGAATGAAATGTGGAAAGCAGACAGCACACCGCTTATGAGAAGCAACATTTCACCTGCCCTTTCAGTGGAGAAACTCGTCTGAAACACGACAGGAACCGTCGCCAGTGGCGTGAGGTAGAACTGAAAATGCAAAGCAGCTCAGTGTCAGAAAGCGAAATGTAAGGGCCGGTGAGCTGGGAAACTGGGCCACAAACAGGCGTGGAAATGCTAGCGAAGAGAGACTTTTTCTTAAAGGCACAAAAGCACCCGCAGGAAAGTGTGAAAGAAGCCGAAGCAATAATTTGGTCACCGTGTTGGATTCTATTAGGACAGGTAATAAATAGAGAAAAATTCAATCTCACCAGTCCCCGGAGAAAAACCAGTGAAGTCAAAGGGCTTCAGAGATCTTCCATCTGATAGCAGCCTCCTGCCTTGACGGGGCCGCACACCCGTGACTCAAGACCAGCGTCTCGGCGCGAGCCCAGCCCTCTGATGCCGTGAAATCACTCACCACTTCTTGGAATCGATTCTAAGGAAATAAGCAGAAATGTAGGCAAAGATTATTAAAAAGAGAAGGTCATTTTCGTTTTATTTTTAAATGGCAAAAAAAAATTATTTTCAAAGTTTTTTTCCCCTCGCAGGCATTTTGAATGGAGACTTTGGAGCCAAATGTCTATCTAAAAATAGAATCGAGTTCTGGAAATAACAGTTGTGTCTACAAATGAAATGTCTGCAGCGCCCCAATCTCGTCCTCCAGCCCGCGCCTGACTGCACACACACCAGTGAGACATGTGCAGTGGCAGAAGCGCCCGAGTGGGGGATGGAGAAAAAAAGGGGAGGGCTCCTTGGGCTGGATACTTGACTGTCATTCTAAGTGAAGTTTAGAAGACTTTCTTTAAAAAAAAAAAAAAAAAGATGTATTTATTTATGCATGCAAGAACTGGGGTACAGGCCAGAGGTGCAGGAGGTGAGAGGATTCACCAGAGACAGAGTGGGGGGCAGAACAGGCAGGTTGGTGAAGTGCACTGCTGAGGGGAGCAGCGGGGAGACAGGAGAGGTCTGCCGCGCCCCAGCGCCAAGTGGGTCACTCCCTGGCTGGGGATCGAACTCGTGCTGAAGCGGCTGCAGCTAGCTTTGCAGTGCTGTGCTTTAACCTGTTATACCACCAGGGAGGCCCTAAAAAGATTTCTAATACATGGGAAGGTGCACGTGAAATGAATTTCACAGCAAAAGAAGCAGTGTGAGAAGCTGTGGCCTGAGTGGCTGCAGCAGGCTAGAGCAAGCACTAGCCTGTTCGTGCTGCGGGGGAGATGGCTCATTTTTCTTTCTTTCTTTTTCTTTTTAAAAAGACATTCTGTGTCCTTGATTTTTTCCTGTAAAGGTCACCAGTTACTTTCAGACATAAAAATACACACCCATCTGTTGTCCCCCACCCCCAAACCACGGGGTCTCTGCACAGAAGGAACAGCACAGAGACAGGGATGCAGCGAGGCGTGGGCCCGTCGGCCGGGGCACTGGGAAGGGAAGGGAACGTGGTCAAGCTGGGGCGTGAAGGCCACCCAGAAGCCCTTCCTTGTCCCGGTTCAGAGGAGATTGAGGAGCCCCTTCTGGAGTGTTGGGGCACTGGGGCTGGGAGATCAGAGCTTCAGGAAGAGCTCCCGGTGCCAACCTCCCGCCTCTATTCCTACTTCCCCAGGTAAGAGTTTCACATTGACCATCACCGTGTTCACCAACCCCACCCAAGTGGCCACCTACCACCGAGCCATCAAGGTGACTGTGGATGGACCCCGGGAGCCCAGACGTAAGTGCCAGGGCCGCCGAGGCCCCTAGGTGGGGAGGAAGGTCCAGGGGGGAATGGCAGCAGCCAGGGGCCACTGCATCCCCGGAGCACTTTTGTGGGGGTTTTCAGACGGCCACTCTGCACCCCTCACTGTGCATAGGTGAACAAAGCCCTCAGCCCTCTGGACTTAGCCTGAGTCTGTGGGAGGCTTGTGAGGGCTGGGGCTCATCCCCTCCTGGGGGGTGGCCCCTGGGGCCTGCACCTGTTAAGGAGCAGGACAGAAAGGCCTCAGATTGGGCGTTTATGGGGTGTGTGCCTGTGTTTGGGAACAGAGGCTGGGCCAGCTTGGGCCCTCTCTACTCCCCTACCAATGGAGCCATCAAAGCTCCAGCTGGTCTGACTGGGAGGCCAGCCCCCCACCCCCACCCCAGAAAACAGTCTCTGACTCCCAGTGTGTGACTTGCTCGAGTCGTGCCCTGCCCAGGCACTCTGACCTGAAGCCATCCCCTCTCCCCCTCCAGACTAGGAATGCAGATTTCATCTTGCCAGTATTTATCGAGCGTCTACTATGTACAGGGACCCTGACTCCTGCATTTTAGCATTAAGGAGCATCTATACTGAAGTGTTTCGCCTGCTGGAAGACTGAGCTAGTGGGTTCAGATGGGGGAAACTGGAGGGAGAGCGGCTGTCTGTTCGCTCGCTCGTTGGCTCGCTCTGTCTGCACTGGCCCCTTCCAGCAGGCTTGGGCTGCTGGTATTGGGAGCTGCCCTGTCCTCTTTCCTTGCAACCGTGACCCTTTGCAGTGTAGGAAGCGCTTTCACATTATTGTCTAATGAGACAGTCACCTCCGTCCCAATGAGGAGAGAGTCCTGGTTCAGGGTCAGCCAGGACACGGCCTCTGAGGTTTGGGGAGATGCCCACTCTTCCCAGAAACAGCTGTAAGTGGGCCTGGGAAGGGACTGTGTGCTCCAGATGTCTCAGTGTCCAGAACGGGGGTGTGTGGCTTGCCAGGTGTCTCTGAGGCCGTGCAGGCCTGGCCCTGGACGGACCCTGGGGCATGGCTCCCATTCTGTGCACTCTCTGGCCCACGCCAGTGCTGGCCACTTGAGAATGGCTCGGGCTGGGCCCAGCAGCCAGAAGAGCTTCCTCCAGGCCTCTGGGGCCACCTCTTCTGGCCTCTCGGAGCTCCTGAGCCCATCAGGCATGCAGCTCCCAGCCGGGGGCCGCTTGGCCAGCTTCCTGCTGGGACAGGCTGGGAGCTAGGCTTTGGGGCCCTGGGTAAGATATGTCTCCACTTTGGCCTCAGTGTTCTCATCTGTCAGCCAGTCAGTGGCAGAGGTCTCAAGGTGGTGTGAAACCCTAGTGAGCCACAGGACCTTGGTATGAGAGCAGGTGCTGGGCGGGCTTGCCTGACCGGGGCCTTGGGCGAGTCTCCAACCTGCCTGGCCCCGGCTCTACCCTCCAGGAGGTGGGTACCACCCTCCTCGCAGACTCGGGGGCCAGTGACTTGGGTGCCTGGAGCCAGGTGTTCTGCCACCCCTGGTACCCAGCACCTCCGCCACCATTCGTGAGCGCTCTTGGTGAGCAGCAGAGTGCCTGCCGAGAGCCCAGCCATGGTCTAGGGTATAATATCCCCATCAAAGGAGGGGACAGCGCAGCATGGAATGGACAGGCGTCCCCTCCGGGCTCAGTGTGACTGACGTGCTTAGGCCACTCCAAGGAGCTCAGTGGGGCGGCCCCAGGGGCAGCGCCTGGATCCCCCAGAGCCCTCTGCTGTCGGCCCTGTCCAACCCAGAGCTAGTGACCACCCTGCCCACGGCAGCCCTGGAGGTGGCTGGAGGCCCAGCCCTGCCTCAGAAGCCCCTGGTCCTGGGGGTCCTTCCTGCCCTTCTTTCCTGGAGTCCCCAGACCTGAGCTCACTCCTCTTGGGGTAAGCTGTTGTGAGATGAGATGGCACAGCATTAGGCAACTGAGGCTGGACTAGGAAGATGAGGCAGCAAGAGGAAGGGAAAGAAGCTGACGAGGAGGTAAACTGTGGTGAGGGCCAGGCTGGCTGTGCGACTGGGCAGATGGCGTCCGCTCTGGGCCCTGGCCCGGGTGAAGTCCATGGTTTTAAGGCGACTGTTGAACAACATCTTAGCAGAAGCTCATCTGTACAGAAGAGCAGGGCTGGAGGGACCGTTCTCGGCTGCCACCCGAGGCCTGCTTGCTGCTGCCCACCCGGCGCCCAGTGCCGGTCTCCCTGTGAGCACCCTGGCCCTTGGGCCGTGACCTTGACAAGTCCCACTTCTCCCCACCCCTCCTCACCCCCCACCCCAGGCCTCAGGCTCCCTACCTGTAAGAGATACAGACTCTCACAAGCCGACCCTCAACTGCCCCAGAGGGGACAGGCCAGCAGCCAAGCCCAGGGGAGAGCGTGCAGGCTCCAGGCCAGGCCTCAGGGAGGGGAGGCCCCTGCAGGGCCTTCCCCACTCAGCATGTGGTGTGTAAAGTGGGGATGGTGTGAGCGTTATTAGCATCTGAGCTTGGGGGTGTCACTTGGGGGTGTCATGGCGATCAGGAGTTTGCAGTTGCCTGGCCCTCAGGACACGCCCATGGGTCAGCAAAGATTTCCTTTCCCAGCTTCCTTGGGTTGTCCGGCCGCCACATCGTGGAGGGCTGAGCTTCCTGTGGGCTGGGACGGGGGTGAGGGCTGGGGAGTGGGCCTTGGCTCCCCAAGGCCAGGCTGTGGGTTCTGTGGCCGGGTTGTTCCCCTCCAGTGATCTTCAGAGTGTGCCCGAGCTACAGCCAGGTGGCCGGCTGGGTTTGAAGGCTGGCTTGGCGGCTTCCTGCTTGTGTGGCCTCGGTTTCTGAGGTTCTCGGGGCTGGTGTCCCTCACAGTCACTGGGGGCTGGTTGAAAAGCAGGTGGCTGGGGCAATCCAGGGCACGGGCAGGAGGGGTGCCAGGCCTGGCCACTCTAGCGGGGACCAAGATCTGGGATCCACTAACCCACCTTCCAGGCTTCATACCTGCTGGTACCTGAAAGGGCGGGACCCATGTTCCTACCTGGCCTGCGGCAGAGGGGTGACCTCTTGCCGTGCGCCCTTTTCTTCCTGAAAATGTACATGGGATTTCAGCAAACAACTGTCCTGGGCATCTACCGTGTGCCAGGCAGGTCACGCTCTAGAAGCTGAGCACCCCAAAGTAAGCCTACAGGAGGGCTCTTCCCCCCCACCCCAGGTCTCTTGCTGCTGTGGCGCTCATGACCCCACAGAACTGTGCTCGGCATCCCCCTGCTTCCTCTCCGGTACCTCCTCCCTCACCCTACTCTGCCCTTCGAATTTGACGATTCCCTTCCTGGCTCAGGGCCTTTGCACCCCCACCTAAGGCACCCTCCCCCAAAACCCCCACATTTGTGGCTTGTGTCTTCCCACCCTGAAGTCTTTACTCAGACTTCTCCATGCGCCCTCTGAGCACCCCATCAGCCCCCCAGTCCTCCCAGGCTTTCGCTTTACCCTGAGCCCTATCGCCTCTCAGATGTGGTTTATGCCATTCAGTGCTCTGTGCCCCAGGACTGTCCATGCGCCGTGAGGCAGACTCCTGCCTCTGCTTTGCGGGCCCCAGGATGGACCAGGACACAGAGCACTCGGGGGGTGCTGGGCTTGAAGAGCCCCGACCGTGTCGTGCCGCTTTCCTCCTCAGCTCCGGGTCAGGGGAGGTCGAGGGTGGAGGCTCCTACCCCTGGGTCCCCCACGATCCCCAGGGAAGTCTCCCCCGCAGGAGGGAAGGGGTTAACCTCAGACCTCCCGGTTCCCCTAATCAACCCCAGGCCACTGGAAACCCCAATTGCAGCCCTGGGAGGGAGCTGTTTGCCTCCCTGTCCGCTGGCCCCCCGCCAGCCTGTTTCCCTGCCCAGCCACCGACCAGCTTTCATCTGCTCACAGGGGGCCGATTCACAGCAGACCACCCCGGGCCCTGCACCCGCCTGTGATTCCGCGCGGTTGTTAAGAGTCGGGTGTAAATCTCCTGACAGGCCGCAGAGCAGGCCTTGGGCCCGGGTGCCCCACCCCACGGCTGGGCAGACAGTGGCTGCTGTGTCTGGGCTGTGGCCACACCAGGGCCGGGCCGGGTGGCCGAGGCGGTCCAGTGGCTTCAGATGGGTAAAGCAGCCCATATTTGGGGCCCACATTGTTTCCCGGATGCTGTCCCTGCAGCCCTGTCCAACTCTGCTGCCCCCTGTTCTCGGGTCCCATTGACCTCCTGCACCCGCCCCCGGCCAGCTGAATCAGGACTCTGAGCTGGGCTCTGCCAGCTGGACCGCGTGGCCAGGCGACCACCCTCCTCGCCTGGAGGGCTTAGCAGCCAAGCTGCTGGTCCCGCTGCAGTGCCAGGCTTGACCCTGACCTCATGGCCCCGCTGTCAGAGGGTGTAGCCCTGGGAGAATATGCCAGTGGCCCAGCTGGCTCAGAGCCTGGGGCGCAGCCTGGACGCCTGCACAGACCATTGCTGCTCTCATCTCGGGCTCGTGTTGGTGGGGTGGAGGCAGAGGGATGGTCCCCAGGACCCGCTGGTCCCCCAGAAGTGCTGGGTACCTGGGAGGTACGGAGACCCCCACCTGGCATGTTGTGATGAGGGATGCCCAGGAGGTGGTGGAGGGGACCCCCGACCTGTCATCTAGCCCTGCCCTCTATTCCCACAGGAGTGAGCCCACTGCCCCGCCCCGCCTTCCCCGGGTGACCTCTGCACGCTGGCAGCCCTCTGCAGGAAATGCTGGGGAGGAGGGGGCGACCCTGTCCCTTTCTTGCAGCTGTCCTCGCTCCGGAGCCCAGGGGTATGCGCTCCATTTCACAGATGAGACCACTGAGGCCGGAAGAGAGCGGCTTGCCCAGAGCACCCGTCGGTGTGCACTGTCGAGCCGGCCCCAGCCCTGGGCCCTGCGAGGGCAGCTGGGCAGACACCAAGGAGGGTCGGGGGTGGCCGTCAAGGTGACATTGAGGGGCTGTGTGCAATGTGAACCCCGCTGCTACAGGCTGTGGGGCATCCCAGACAGGGCGTGCCCCGTCTTCCCTGAGAAGTGCTCCACTGTGGAGCCCCGAGTCATCCTCACCCCCAGGGGTCAGCTATCATTCGGGGGTGGAAACAGGCCGGGAGAAGGACAGGGACTGGGAGGGGTAACAGCAGGGTGATTGGGCACTTGGATCAGCCTCAGAGCAGGGCAGGGCCCCCAATGGGGTCCACTGAGCCCCACTCAGTTTCTGCTCCCCTAGTCTGTGCTCTGGACACGCAGAGGGCAGCTCTGCCCCGGGCCTGGCCTGGGCCCTAATGCCCATCGTCTGGAGCCCCCCATTTTCAAAACTCAGGCTCCTCTCCTGCAGGAAGAGAAAGTGACCGTGCGCCTTCTGTGTGGACCTGAGCCTGTCGCTGACCGCCACTGGGCCTCAGTTTTCTCACCTGTGAAATAGGGACAGCCTGGGGGTGATAGCCGGGGAGGCCAGGCAGCACCTCGCGTGTATCCCTGCTCCTGCTGCGCTGCTGCTGCTGCTAAGGGCTCTCCCGCCTGCAGAGGTGACAGGGTAGGTGGCGGCGATGAGGGCTTCCTGAAGGAGAGGCTCGGCCGAGGCCAAAGGCAAGAAAACACTCTTGGCAGGGGCTGTGCGGGCTCAGTGTGGACTTAGCCTCTGAAGCGAGGGAGGCAGAGAAGAGTCAAAAAATATGGGGAGCAGCAGCAGCTGGGAGGGGTGACAGGTGGGCCCTGGAGCAAGAGTGCTGTCCTCTCCTCCTGGGGCCCCCGTCAGGCCAATGCCTGCCCCTCACCCCCTGTGTTGGGACTTCCGGAGTTCGAGGGGCCTCTGTGATCAGGGGCTACAGGGGGGAAACTGAGGCACGGAACATGCGAGGACTGGGCCGCAAGGGGCCGAGTGGGCTTGACCGGCGCTTCCTCCCTAGCCCCGCCCAGGGGCCGCCGCGTGAATGGCCCTTTCCAGAGGCCCAGCTCCTTTCCCCGGGCACAGGAAGTTCCATCCTGCCGCAGAGCACAGGCCTGGGCCCCGTGGCTCCCAGACTCTCTGGCGCCCTGGCCACGTGGGGCCGCCTCGCTCCGAGTCTCCCCTCTCCCTGGCACTGGCCCCAGCTTCCGCAGGAACAGGGGAGCAGTGCCCGGCGCTGTGGAGCCCCCTCCTCCAGGACACCAGCCCCCTGAGGTGGGCAGCGTGGTGCCTGGGCGCGGCCGACCCTGGTGCCCACACCCGCGGCCTAGCGTGGTCTCCCCTGGAGGCCTCCGCGGCCCCATCCTTACAATGCAAGCAGGGAAGAAGGTGTTAAGAGAAAGAGGGTGGGCTGCGGTCGGGGTCTGGCTGTGCTACCCACTCGGGCCCAGACGCAGCATAGCAGCCTGGATCTGAACCCGGAGAAAGAGCCCCTCGGCCCCCCTCGAAGGGGGACCCTTGCAGGACCCTGTTGGGTCCCTAGGGATGGGTTGGGTGCCTTGGTGGGAGGCTGCAGCCGGGCGAGGTGGGGGTGGGGAGGGGGTGCAGGGCCCTCCCTGAACCCGGGCTGGTGGTGCACCCTCTTCCGCGGGCCCTGGCGTCCCTGTGCACACTTGATGCACCGTGTGACTCAGAAACGAGACGCTTCTCGCCAGTGGTGATCGCAGCAGGCCTGAGGTTAGCGCTGGCTTTCCTGTGACCCTGTCAGCTCTCTCCAAGCCTGCGGTTGGCTGCGACACCCAGGTCCTTTGCACCAGGCTGTCCCAGGGCAGCTTCCACCTCCGTCCAGCTGCCCGCCTGCCTGCTGAGACTGTCCCGACCCTCCCGCCCGCTTGACCACACCCGCGGGTCCCCCAGTAGCCAGGGTGGAGCGCTTCACCCAGGCTTGTCGGCGCTGATGCCTGAGCCCTGGGGTCGCCCCTGCGTCCCCCTCCCGAGGGGCATCTGTCCTCTAGTCCTTGGTGTCTGGATAATGAAATCTCGGACTTGGCCACAGGACACAGCCCTCAGTGCGGTTGTTTGTTTTCAGCGTTTGGATTAATTGCCAATGTATGGTTGGGGCAGTTTCACAGAGACGCAGGTCCGTGGCTACTCCTGGTACCGTGAGGCTCCCGCAGCACTGGCAGCCCACCTGGCGCCAGTCAGCTGGACAGATAGCAGCTGGCCCTCTACGGGGCGCCCCTCGCCGTCCCGCGCCCACCCCCACTTGCCTTGGGCACAGCTTTGTCTGGGCCCATGGGGGGCGGGGCGCAGAGTTTCCAGCCTCAGCGCCAGCCAGGCCTGCCTCCTCCTCCCCTTTGTTGCCAAGGTCCTGGGAGGCTGCCACCTGGGGCCAGAGCCCGTGGCCTCTTTGGAGGACAAAGTGGGGTTCCTGGTTCCTGATGGCCTCCTGGCCTGCTGTAGCTCCTGCGTGGACTCCCCGTCCTTGGACACCCACTGAAGCTCTGAGGCACAGGGGTACAGGAAGCCTGGGGGCCTGTGGATGCCAGACTCCATACCTCTCCCGTTTTGAAAATCAGAAATCAGGCCCATTCCAAGGCTTCCGACTATGTCCTCAAACCCAGTAGGACTCAGCGGTCACCTCACACCTTTCCCGGCTCCCCGGAGGCCATTGTCCAGACCTGGGGAATGACCTGAAGGCACTATGGTACCTCCCACCTGTTCCTTTTCCCCTGTCAATATGGAAAACTCTATGTCACTGCAGACTCAGGACTTGGGCAAGACCTCCTCCCTCTGAGCCCCTTCCCCACACTTCCTTTCCGAGGGGTCCCAGGTCCAAGAACGCCGTCCCCTTCCCTGGCCGTTTGACCCTGGACAAGCGCTTGGCCTTCTGGGCTGCAGTCCTCCTGCCTGGAAGAGAGGCCTGGCCATCCTTCCTCCTCAGGGCTCGTGCAGGGCCAAAGAGACCAGCCTGGGTGTCGGCCGAGCTCTGGAGCCAGGCGTGCCCGGCCCTCCCACTGAACCTCCACTCCTAGCGTCTGCCCCGCAGAAACCCCAGACAGGCGGGGGTGAGCAGCGACCACGGGCCTTGACCGGCAGGGCATGGGGGGTACCGCGGAAACACGGGCCTGGCCGAGCGGCTGCAGCCCATGAAGGTGGGGACATGCCCCCACCCCACCCCCGCCCAGAGCCGCTGCTGATGGGCTCCCCGTGCTCTGCAGGGCACCGGCAGAAACTGGAGGACCAGAAGGCGTTTCCCGACCGCTTCGGGGAGTTGGAACGGCTGCGCATGCGCGTGACGCCCAGCACGCCCAGCCCCCGAGGCTCGCTCAGCACCACAAGCCACTTCAGCAGCCAGGCCCAGACCCCCATCCAAGGTAGGCACAGCGGGGCGGCGGGGAGGGGCCGGGTCCTGGGCGCGTCCAGCTGCCCGTTTACAAGGGAGGCGCGGCTGCCCACAGCCCTGCAGGTGCGCCCAGCGGCCCCCCTGTGCGGGGTCCTGGACTGGGCCGCTCATTCGCTCCTCAAACATCTGTTGACACCCACCTCCAGCCATCGCTGTGCTGGGCCCCGGGGTCACCGTGGGCTGCGGACACAGCCCTGCCCTGCGCTCCAGTCCCCTGGGCACATGGGCTTTAGCCCTTAGGGCATCATCAACACTGGGCATGACTTGCGCAGGGTGCCCGCAGGCGGCAGACACCCCCTGCTGAGGACACTCCCCACCAGCCTCAGCTTTCTCACCTGAAAGTGGGGGAGCTGGGGATGCCTCTGTCCAGGGCTGGGCAGCAGCCACATGGCATCGCTGCCCTCAGACCAGCTTTGTGCACTGACATGGATGCACAGCCCCGAGGGGAGGCCCACGCGTCACCTGGGAAAGTCTCCCACCTGGCCCAGAGGCCTTTCAATAGGCCTCTGAGGAGGACGGTCACGGGCTGGGACCCAGGCTCATCCCCTGGCAGGATGGACACAGCCACAGCTGCGGCGCCATCCCTGGGTGCCCGGTGCCTGGCACAGAGCAGGTGTCCACAGGTGGCCAGCTGGACGGTGAATATATTTAATCTGCTCTGCAGGCTGTCTCAGCTGACGGGTGGGGTGCAGGAGGCCAAGCACACAGCTGGGGGACAGAAGAGGACAGAGGCGGGAGGGCTGACCGCTGCCCTGCAGGGGGCCCTCTGGGGCCCGGTTAGAACCAGTGCAGATGAGTGCGCTGGGCCCAGGGCCCCACAGTCCACCAGTGACAGTCCCCAATCTCCACCGCACCTGCCCCAGCATCTCCCTGTACTTTTGAGAGCAGTGGCAGCAAACCAATTCCCACCTGCTCCCCTCTCTTCTCCACGCCCCAGCAAACTGGGCCTCCCGGGCCTCGGCCTTGGCCACGTGGGCCTTGATGCAGCCCCTGGGCGTGGGAGAAGTCCCTCCCTTTCTAACCTGTACTCAGGGAACTGGATTTTGGTTCTGCTGAGACCCCCCACCCCAAGGTGGAGAGGCCCCAGATTCAGCATCTCTGAGTCAATGCTAGTGAATTTGAGACCCTCACAGCTCTGCCTGGAGTGGCCTGCCCTCAAGGTGTGCTGGGGGCGCCTGCCCTGCCCCAGAGCTCTCTGGCCCCGTGGGTGCAGTCACTGCTCAGTCTAGACCCTTCCCCGTGTGGGAGCCTATGGGATATGTGGGCCCAGCTATGGGGCCCAGGACCTAGCTGGCGGTGCTGCCTGTCCAGCAGCTCCCATGGACGGAGAGACCCACTCTGGCTTGGGAGCCAGTGCACAGAGAGCCGGAGGCAGGTCTCCCGGCCCGCTGTCCGGGCAGCAGTCGGATCCTGCTTCCACTCTGCAACTGGGAGGAGAGGCACAGCCCTGTGTGGAGGCTGACCCAGTCCTGCCCCTTCTGCCGCATCCTGAACAGGGGGGGTTGGGGGGGTGCTGCCCCAGCCCCCCTAACACCACTGCACCGGGCTGCAGTAGCCTGAGTCACCCTCTGCTCCAGCCAGTCCTCTCTCACCCCTGGCCTGTCCCCTTTGGAGCAAGAAGGGCTTTGACAACGAGGGCCAGGGAAGGAGCATGAACTTCGCGGCCACATGGAACTGCTAGGACTTCTGATCACCAGGCCCTGCTGTGTGGCCTTGGACAAGTTACTTTACCTCTCTGAGCCTCAGTTTTCTCGCCTGTAAAGTGGGAAGAAGGGGGTACCTGCGGCAGAGTGGTGTTAGCGGGACCAGGGTTAGGGCTCTCCTCACTGGTGGGAGAAGCCACTGGACTCCATCCTGGACTCCCCAAGACACCCCGCCACCTCTTGATGCCTGTTAATAGCCGTGACCCCTCCCAGCTTTGGTCACTGGCAAGCAGTTCGGAGGCCCCAAATCCTCCATGCCCGGGCCCCGGCCCCCGGGCTGTGGCCGCCCACAATGGGGGCTTCTCACCGCTCAAAGGGCTCATTCAGCCACGCAGCAGCTGGGGCAATTTGGAGAAGAAAATAAACATTTCCTCCCAGTGTTGGGATTGGCTGCTCCACAGCAACCCGCCGGCTCGGGTTTCCCAGGGCTACCGGGGCTGGGGGTGCAGGGGGCAGGGGGGCACTCACTTCCCCGGAGGAGCCACCCTGGAGGAGTGGGGGACCTGAGGAGGAGGCCAGAGGGGTCAGCTCAGGGCCGACAGCCCAGGTGAGCCTCGCGCCCGGCCCAGGCCTGCCGTGCCACCGTAACTGTGGCCGTGGGCTGCCAGGCATCCCGGCCCTGTCACGTTTGAGAATGGGGGTCCTGTCTGGTGAGCAGCATTACTGCCAGGGCCCAGAGAAGAGGTGAACACCTCACACTCGCTATACTTGGGGTGCCAGGCACTGCCGACAAGGCCTGCCCCCCAGGGGTCCTGAGATGAGGCCAAGCCCCTCTGAACTGGGGCTTAGGACCAGAGACCTTGGTCTCTGTGGCTAACTGCCAGGCCAGTGTGCTGTGTGGCCTTAGGCAGGGCCGCGTCTTTGCTGAGCCTCAACTTTCCTGCAAAGGGGGTTGGTTCAGAGTCCTGAAGGCTCTGAACGCTGAAGTTTCAGGGGTCTGTGATCTTTGCTGAGGCAAAGATCAGGAAGATCTTGCCTGGAGCCTAATGAGAAGTCACGCTCTCGGGGGCCAGGGCCCGGGCCTGGGCTGCTCACTGGGTCTCTTGTAACAAGGTGACAGGCAGGGTCTGCACCACTAAGCCCCAGAAGCTACTCACTGTGCTGCTGAGGCAGGTGGGGGGTAGGGTGCGCCTCATCATTGGCCAGCAGTCAGCTCCAGCTGTGGGGTGCTCCGGAGATACAGGCCAGGGGTAGGGAGTCACACAGAGCTTTCCCCACAACACAAGCGCAAGCTGCTATTACCCAGCTGGGTCCCCGTGGTCCTCTGGGTCACTGGCCTCCTTAGCTCCCACTCCTCCCTCCCTTCCCCCTCCAGCAGCCTCAGTTCTGCAATCACAGCTGTAGGGTTTGGTTTGGTCAGTTCCTCTGTTTTACCCGTATTCCACGTATGAGTGAAAGCCTGTATTTGTCTCCTGCCATTACCTTAGCATCATCCCTCCATCACCCTCTCCAGTTCTGTCCATGTTGTTGCAAATGGCAAGCGTCCGTCTTTTTGACGGCTCAATAGTATTCCATCATGCAGCTATACTGAATCTTCTTAATCCATCCCTGTGTTGTCTTGCCAGCTCTTGACCAGGAGTGGGGAGAAGTAGAAACAGCTGGGCCAGGCCTACTGGGGGCCTGAACTGTCTTTGAGCACCCCCATTCCCAATAGCCCAGCTGGGGTCCTACCATCACCATGTCACCAGGCCTCTGCTCCCCTAGACTGTGCAGAGGATTCCATGAGGAAGAGGGAAAGCCCTCCTCCTGCGACTCCAGGCCCCCAGGAGGGAAGGCTCATGGCCACTTCTGGCCCAGGTAGAGTGCTGTTCTGAGCCGCCTGCCCCCAGGTGGAGTCCTGTTCTGAGTCAGGCTGGCTCCAGCTCTGAGCAGCCCTTGGCAGAGCTCACAGAGCCCCCTCTGGAAGGGGGCCCCCCAACAGGCCTGATCAACCAGCACTCGGGTCGTCCATAAAGACACCCCGGGTGGCGTCAGGCTCACCTGACCATGCTCTTTGTTGTCCACAGGCGCCTCGGACCTGAACCCTTTCTCCGACCCCCGCCAGTTTGACCGCTCATTCCCGGCGCTGCCCACCCTCACAGAGAGCCGCTTCCCAGACCCCAGGATGCATTACCCGGGCGCCATGTCGGCCGCCTTCCCCTACAGCGCCACGCCCTCGGGCACGGGCATCAGCAGCCTCGGCATGCCGGCCACCAGCCGCTTCCACCACACCTACCTCCCGCCCCCCTACCCCGGGACCCCGCAGAACCAGAGCGGGCCCTTCCAGGCCAACCCGTCCCCCTACCACCTCTACTACGGCGCGTCCTCCGGCTCCTACCAGTTCTCCATGGTAGCGGGCAGCAGCAGCGGGGGTGACCGCTCGCCCACCCGCATGCTGGCCTCCTGCACCAGCAGCGCCGCCTCTGTGGCCGCCGGCAACCTCATGAACCCCAGCCTGGGCGGCCAGAGCGACGGCGTGGAGGCCGACGGCAGCCACAGCAACTCGCCCACCGCGCTGAGCACGCCGGGCCGCATGGACGAGGCCGTGTGGCGGCCCTACTGACCGCCCGGTGGGAGCAGACGGCTCCCGGCGGCGGCAGGGACCCCAAGGACCTTCCCGGCAAGTGGCTGGCCCGGCTCTGAGGCCCAGGGCAGGAGTGGGACTTAGGCTCCAGGGCTTCCGTAGGCCCAGGCCAGGGTCCACAGCCCAGATCGGTGGGCAGTTCTGGATATCCAGTGTGGCCAGCCGTGTCTCTCTACAGAGGGGCCGAGACCGCCCCCAGGACACCAGGCCCAGCTACATCCTAGTCATCTCATCCCACATTCCTGAGGGAACGTTCCTCCCCCCGCCCCCCGGAATGACCTGGCTGATCCCCTGTGCCCGCTGCCTTCCCGGACCAGCCTCGGCACAGAGACCCCCTCTCCTGGGGAGAGAGGCCTCGCCCACGGGGCTTGGTGTCTTGCCCAGGGGCCCTAGGGAGACCCCCCCCACCTTTCTCAGACCTGCACCCCATGGACCCAGCCCTCCCTCTGCATTTACACAAATCGAGTCAGAACTGGAAGGGCCCCCGGCCCTGAGAGCTGTGCCCTTTGGCGATGGGATAGAACCATCCAGAGGACCCAGGAAGTCAGACGCAGAGATGGGATGCGAATGCCCCCCGCCAGTCCCAGATCTGCTTCCCCCCAAGTCCTAACAGTCAGAAGCCCATCCCGTCCCAGCAGTCTGGGGGCCCCAGGCCTCAGAGGAGAGTAGCCTGCGGCCCCAGGCCCCTCCGGTCAGGGGCAGCCTGCAGGTGGGTTCTCCATGCACTTTACCAGCCCAAGGCATTCACCCTCTGATCTCTTAGTGGGGGGCTGGGGACCCCCCTTCTCTGAGGCTGGTCTCAAGTTTGCCGTTGTTGGAGAGTGCGGGGACCGGCTAGGCCCCCCGCAGTGGCAGGAGCACCCCGTGCCCCCCCTCCCCCCGTCTAAGCCAGTCTGCGCCCCAGCGCAGCCCTGAACAGAATTCAGTTTTAAAGCTGATCGTAGGAAAAGAAGCGTCAGTCAAACATCGCAAACACGTGACCTCTGACAGTGAAGCCCCGTAGTGGCCGCGACCCAGCCCCAGCCCAGACGCCTCTAGAGCGCGCCCTTCCGCAGCGTCCAGCCAGCAACAGCCGCCGACCCTGCCGGGCGTCAGCACATCACACCCGTGCGGGGGGTGTCCTGGCGTGGGCCCCACCGGCCCGCCCCGGGCTCCGAGCCGCAGGGCGCCCCTTGGTTTCAGGGGGAAAGGCAGGCCTTGTCCAGGCGTCAGGCTGCATATGGATTCTCGGTTGGGTTCTTTAGTCCCAGAAAGGCTTATGTGGGGAAGGACGAGCTCGCCCTGGCCAGTGCCAGGCAGCGTGTGGTTTCAGGATTCAGACTGTCCTCCGTGGGTGTGGCCGTCGCCCCTGCGAAAGGCCCCGTGGCTGGCCCTGTAGTAACACCTGACCCCTGCACCCCCAGCCCAACCTGGAACAAGGGCGCGGGGCACTTGGGGACTCAGGGAGTCCTTCTGATGGTCTTACGCGAACCCCTCCTGCTGCAGCTCCTCTTGTCTGGCCCTCACTGGAAAAAGCAGTCTCCATCTCTCCCATATAGCTGCCGGGGGTGTCCTGCTGGCTGCCCGCACCCAGGAAGCGCTCCCCCCTTCTCAGGAAGCGGCTAGTACCCGTTGCCCGGCTGCCTTCGCTCCCCCTCTCCGGTTGCAGACTGGCCCCAGGCTCCCATGGGTTCCAGTGCCCAGCACTTTGTAGCCCCGCCCAGATCACTGCCCCTTGCTGACCGCCAAGCCCTGGTGGGGGTAGGGGCAGGAAACAAGCCACCCACCCTCCTTCCACCCCCGACTGAAAGTGGTGGCAACCTGCTCGCTCTGGCCGAAGGTCCGTGGTGGGTGCAGACGGCTGGGAGACAGAGGCCCTTCCTGACAAGACTGTTTTGAAACTGTCCCGGGCAAGCGCCCCGCCTTAGAAAGCACAAGGAAGCGGAGGGGCCTGGTCTCCCTGGAAACCTGTTGGTTGTGGGTGCGGAGCCTTTGTGACATATTGTCATGCCGCTGTGTTCATGGTACCTGCCACACTCGACTCTTCCAGCCCGGAACTGGGGAGAGGGTGGGAGGGGTGGAATTGCTTTGCACTATAATTTGCTTGGTGTGTTTGTTTTTAATGCACAACTTGCTTGTACAGTAAACTGTCTGTCTTCTGTACTATTTAACTGTAAGATGGAATTTTGACTGATTTGTTACAATAATATAACAGATGTTGAAGGATCCCAGTGCCAGGCTTCTGGGCTGTGTGCATGGGGTGGGTGAGGACAGAAGACAGTACCTCCCACTGCCCCCGAGGAGGGATGGGCAGGGTCTGGGGGCAGGACAGAGTCCAGTGCTTTGGGGGCCCCCTGGCCCCCACCGGTGCCTGGACCTCCCTGCATCCAACTCCATTAGGACTGGCCACAGAGACCAGCCTGGGCAGGGAGGGGGGGTGGGGGGGCGGGGCTGAGGCCCCAGAGGGGTGTCCAATGTTCAAGGTGCCTGCACGAGCAGCCCCGGTTTTTTCACACAGAAACTGAAATAGGGCTCCTCTCCCAGCTTGGCCCCACCCTTAGCGTTGGGAGGGAGGGGGAGGATCGCAGCCTGGGTGCGAGCCCCCTCTGGGGCCTGTGTTTGCTGGAACAGCAGCCAGCCCACACCATCGGAACTACAAAGCAAGCAGCTTCGTCAGCTCCCTCATTCTGCAGATGAGGCCACCAAGGTGCAAACAGGGGGTGTCATCTGGCTCCACTTCTCTCCGGAGTTGTTTGTGGCTGATGATGGGAGCTGGGGTGTGATGGGCTTGCCTTCTCACCCCACCCCCATCCTGCCAGCAGAAGGCCTGGAGGGATGTGTTCATAAAATAGATCTTATTTTCAAGTGCAAATACTTTGAAACCTGCTCCAAGTCTTTGCCCTGTCCACTTGGTTTGATCTGCTGGAAACCCAACACCCACAAGAAATGAAGGCCATGGTCATGTTCTGAGCCCGCTTCCTGCCCAACCCCGGCAGCAGCCTCCTGGCCCAGGGGCAGGGGTCTCCATGGGCATCACACAAGCCAGCCTGCAGTCAGTCTCTCCCAGAATGAGCTGGCATCCGCCTGGGCACGCTGTGCTGGTCCTGAAGCAGCATGTGCCAGGCAAACTCTGCCTGCATGTGTGTGATTATGTGGAGTCGTCACTGTAGGAAGCCATAGAGATTGGAGGGGACCACAGTTCAAGGCCTCCCCACATTTTGGAGCCACAGAGCTGTGGCCTCCAGCTCTGACTCAAAGTCGCATCACTTCCACCTCAGCAGGGGCAGACCAGCACAGACCAGCACCAGCCTCTCCCAAGGGGAAAACAGCGCCCAGGGATGTCGGGACTTGGCCTGGGTCCCTGAGCCAGGGCGGCGGGCATAGTGTTGCAGTAACCAAAGCAACCTGCAGGTGGCGCAGGTGGGACCAGCGAGCAGCCCCCTGAAGAATTAGCGGGCGGAGCTCGGCTGGGTCTTAAAATTTCCAGCCTTAGGAGGTTCATCCTGGAAGGGCCTGGAGGTGTCTTGCTGGGGAGGAAGGTGTTCGTTCCTACTTTAGCTCGTGGCTGCGGGGGGTCCTTGTCCCTCTCGGATCCTCCCTTTTAATTCACCAGTGACAGGAACACCTACTATGTGTCTGACAAATGAGAATCACAGGTCCTGGAGCTCTGCTTTGAACCCAACTTGAAGGAAAGTTTGCCATCCTGGTCAGCGCCCTTCTAAGCCACCAGCAGGAGCTTAGGACCTTAAGCAGCCAATGCAGAACGAGGCGGCCATTTTGTTCCAGCCTCTGCCACTAGGAATTCCGTAGCAGAGATGATAGGAGTCCTTGAGTTTTAGCAACGCCTGTAGCCCACTCAGAGCCCACAGCTGGCCTAGTACAGGCCTTGGGGCTCCCAGCGTAGCCCCCTGGCTCCTAGGCTCTTCCAGGCACCTCCTAACTTAGCCTCCAGACAAACCTGCTCAAGCCCCTCCAGCCTTAAGGAGCAGCCTCTCAGCTCCGAGGTAATGGCATGTGCCCAACGGGAGAATTGTGAGTGTCCGAGGACACTGATGTGAGGGAGTGCCCCAGGCTGTACCCCATAAACACAGCCACTCTGCCCCAGCACGGCAGCGCCAGCCACCAGCCACCCCGAGTGGGGACTGCGTCTCAGTAGGTCGGTTCATTTTGGGATCGTAAATGAAACGAGCTGTCAAACAGACGGGATGGGGGGCGCCAGAGTGAAAGAATGGACTGTTCCTCACGGAAACCCAGAGTGCCCCCCACTCCTCCCCGTGAGGGCTGAGAGCTGGGGGTGGGAGGTGAGGAGCCAAATCCCCCCAACATCCGCATCCACACCTGTGTGGTCCAGCAGCTCGGGGAGCCGGATTCCAGGCTTCCTATTTTTAGTTTTGCAGCTAAATGCACACTGTTTGTTTTATATATTTATATTCACCCGCAGAGCGAGCCAGCCTGGAGGGAGCCCTCCGGCGCAGGGCGGCAGGGCGGCCCGAGAGCCAGCTCGCTGGAGCCGCCCTCCCTTGGTGCCCACGCCCGTGGCTGGAAACAGCTGTGGCCTCTTTGGTGTCCTAATGGGCGGCAGCTGTTTGGGCCACACCACCCGCTTTTGAGCTCGGTGTCTGCAGGCCCTGACCAGGGTTCTTTCGCTCATTCGCCAAACTCGGGCCCAAGCCCACACCACCCCGGGTACCAGACAGCAAAGGAGGAGAATGCAACCATAGGTCACGGCCGAGCCTAGGAGGAGCAGAAACGGGAAAACAGGTGTGCTGAGCCTTGGGCTACCTGGTGTGGGTGAGGTGAGGTGGGAAGAGGAGTAGAAATTCCCAGGGCTGAGGCACAGCCTCCTGGGGGGTTTGGGGGGGGGGGGTTGGAGGGGCGCTTGCGCCAAGGCCTGAAAGACAAGGATGTGGTGAACGGCAGAGGCAGAGCGGACGTGGGGTCGTGGTGACGGTGGAGCAGGGCAGCGCCCGCATGGGGACTGCAGGTCCGTGGCGGGACTGGGATGTGCGGCGGCGGCGTCAGGGAGTCAGGCGGAGGGGAGTTGGCACGTTGATGCAGCTGTGTGCTGCAGGGCATCGCGCCATGCGTGGGGGTGCAGGGGTGCAGAGACCTGCGGGTGGGCTCGCGGCAGCCCAGGCCAAGCGGGGGGAGGAGGCGCTCAGGGCCCCTGCAGCCTCCTGAGCTTCCTGGGGTCTCAGGAAAGGCCCAGCCCCAACCTCAGGGCGAAGCCTCGCTGGGCGCAGGGCTCCGGGCAGTCGGGGAGCCCCTGGGGTCCGTCCTAAGGAGAGCTCTCGGCTTTGCCTGTGTCCCCGAGGCCCCCAGCCCCCTGGGCCTGCCACATGGCCACCCTCCGACCACACCAGCCCTCACTTTGAGGATCCAGGCTGAGTTCATCCAGCCACCTCACTTTCCAAGGCCCGAGAATGTACATAAGAAATAAGAGCCTGAATCCGAGGTTCCTGAGTCCTAGGAACTATAAAGAGCACATTTCAAAACTGCACTAAATAATACTGAAGTTCTAGAGGGAAAAAATGGGGATACAGACCCCCAAAAAGGACCCAAGGAAAAACTACCCATAATTCCACCTCTCCAAAGAGAACCACTGATAATAGTTTCCGTTCCCCACCATCCAACCCTTTATATATATTATAAATATATGTTATTATAAACACTTTTCTAGCCAGTGTGTATAGTATATATATACAGTAAATCAATGCACGTAATTCAAACACAGAAATAAAAAGGAAAATCAAAGAAGGAAGTACTGGAATAATGGGATGTTTTCTGTTTGCTTATTTACATTTTTCTGGGTTTTTTAAGTTTTCTAAAATGAGCACATTTCTTAGGGGTTGAGCTCATTAGACTCCTGGACCTGACTCACAGGCAGGCAGGGTGCCAGCACATCTCATGATCAGTGCGGTGTCACCTCCTCCAGGGAGCCCCCCCTGATACCGGAGCTTCTCTTTGCATCTTAAGAATGACAATAATAAAATAATAGCTAAAACTGCATGCAGGGCATTGTTAGACGCATTTTGCCTTTTTAATCTCAGCTCACTGAGGTTCGTACTGTCATTATACCCATTTTGCAGATGAGGACACTAAAGGAGAGCACAGAATTCCACCCAGTCCTAAGTGAGGCAGAACAGCACCCTGAAAGGTAGAGTTTAGGGGGACCATCAGCTCAAGGTCCTGGAGGCTGGCATGCGAGTTCAGTCAGCTTCCAGCAAAAGCCCATGATCCTTGCAAGGGAGTTTGTGTGGGCTGCCTCCGACTTGCTATTGAGACTGGTCACCAGGAGGAAAAGGAAATGAGGACTGTCCTTTCCACAAGCAGAAGCAGAGAGGACACAGGGCTTTGGGGTCCTCTCCCCACTTCTCAGAGTCACGCGGCCTTGTCAGGCTTCTCAGCGCACAGCGTGGAAAGACAGAAATCACCAGTCCCCTCGGGTGACCCCACTGGGGCGCCCTGGGAAGGAGGCGGCCTAGAGGTGGCTGGGGCCTGGCTGGGGGGCCACTCTCCCCACTCTGTGCACAGTGGGAATAGCGCCAAGGTGGCAGCCTCTCTCTGCCTCAAACAAGTTCTGTTTCTTTTTCCATGAAAACAACTCGGTCCTCAATCACCGACGCCTGAAATTAGAAAAATACGAGGGCCATATTATCATAAAACTATTTTAACACGGCGGGGCCCTCTCGGTGGCAAAGGGTGGCCGAGAGTCTGGGCCTCCCCTTCCAGGGAGGCCCCTGGGAAGGCTCAGAGGGACAAGAAATTTGGTTTTCATTAGCGCGAATGTGAGGAGTTCTGTCGCTCTGAATGGACCTTTGATTCTGGCTGGCGGTGGAATCTTTCCAGGACTCAGGGAGTTTTGTTTTGTTTTGTTTTTTTCATATAAAATGGGCCAGGCCCTTCCAGCTTATATCTCCCTCAACTACACGGGAATTGGGCAACACCCCAACCTCTTGACTTCTAAAGTCAACAGCTGGGGCGGGCAGGAGAGGCACCGAGACCATTCTGCTTTATTGACTCTGAGGTTTTATTAAAAATGTTATGTTTCCTTGAGGGCTGTGCCAGACCCAACAAGAAGACCGAGTGGTGAGGGGCTGGCCTAGGCCAAGGGGCTTTCACCACCTGGAAGACAGCCCACGTTGACCTGCTTTCTCCCACCCGCGTGTCCCCCAAAGTGGCCGCCACTTGAGAAACTCCACAGAAAACCCCGCTCTC